CAACTTGTGGGGCTTGGTTTTCTCCTTCCACCATATGCGTCCTAGTGACCAAACTCAGGTCATCAGGCTTGACATCAGGGTGGCCCTGTAGCTTTCTTTTCCTTTTAAAATTTTAAAAAAGATTTATTGTGTGTGTGTGTGTGTGTGTGTGTGTGTGTGTGTGTGTGTGTGTGTGTGTGTGTATACGTCCGTGTGTACATGTGCACCAAGCCTGTGGAGGACCCTGGAGCTGGAGTTAAACAGTTGGTAGTTATAAGCTGCCCATTGTGGGTACTGGGAATCAAACATGAGTCCTCTGGAAGAGCAGTTAGCACTTGTAACTGCTAAGCCATATCTCCAGTCCTTTGGCTTTACTTTTCGAGATAGTGTTGCTCATTAAGACTCATGGATTACTGATTGGCTAACCCTGACAGCCCGGAAGCCTCCTGGATCTTTTATTTCATAGTGTTGATAATGTAGGTATGCTTTTAGGTCCTTAGGGTTGTATAGCAGCAGGGTTATGGGTCACTCTGTGTCTAATGTGGATGATACTTGTGGATGTTTCTTGCTTGAAAAATATTATTTCTAGTAATAGCTTACACCATAATTTGGTAGACTTAAAATATACATAAGGTACATACAGATATACTTTGGGATTACTTTTAGCGGCAGAAGTCAATCTGATTTTCCTGGAATCAAACAAGAAGCATCTGGCGTAAAAACAAAAACAAACATCCCCAAACCCCAAACTTCCTGTAAGTTGTTAAGTTCATGCGCTTTCTAAAATTTGGCTGAAAGAGAATTTTATCAGTTGAATGCTTCAAAGATAGCCTCAGAGGCACCAGTATGTATTTGTCTCACTACGGAAAGAAAGCAAAGCACTGGGATTGGTTTGACTGAATGGAAGCCCAAGTTTGGATTCTCCACTTCTTCCCCATGTCTTCCATCTGTAGTTTATGGTTTCTGACTTGTCTATAACCTGCCTGTGTCTGTCTGTGCCTGCCTGATGTCTGACTGTCTGTCCCTAACAAAAGGCTTTGTTCTGTCTTTATTGAACAGCACAGAAAGCATCACATGGGGAAGGAATGGGACACTTTACAGAAATCTTTAACAGAGTGTTACAAAGGATGAAGTCACTCCAAATGACCCAGCTGATCCAGATAACAAACAGTACTACAAACATTCCATCATCAAGCAATGTCTGTTTCCAGCCTTTATGGATAATATTTGCTGTATAAGGTCATTTTTAATATATTTACTCTTTTCAACAAATGATTATCATGACATACACATGTATTGTTCTCTGGGTCAGTTGCCTGGAAGACTCATAATTTTTTTTTGAGACAGGGTTTCTCTGTATTGTTTTGGAGGTTGTCCTGGAACTTGCTCTGTAGACCAGGCTGTCCTCGAACTCAGAGTTCTGCCTCCCGAGTGCTGGGATTAAAGGCATGCGCCACCACCACTGGCCCTGGAAGACTCATAATTTAAGATGAAAGGTGTGCGTAAATATAGGTGGTTGAAGCTGATTGTATGGGAAATCAAGGCACGTAAGGCTGGTTGTTACATTGTTCTGTTAAAAGCAGTATAAATGAACAGGCTGAGTACACAGCAGGACAGCAGTCTTAAGTCTCAAGTGACCTCAGTGCCTGTTATTACCTGGGCGATGAGGTCCAGCAAAAAAAGTTCCAGTCCCTTTGAATGTAAGATATCTTCTCATAAAAATATTACCACAAAATCATCTGAAATTAGTTGTTCTTAAAATAAACATTGCAAAGTAAATTCTATAGTACTAAATTACTCTTCATATCAAGCGTTTAAAACATTAAGCTAAATAGGACTGAACTATTCTTTAAATAGCTAAGACTGACTAATCATAGTGTGTTTGCAGAGGCAGGTGGATCTCTTGAGTTTGAAGTCAGCCTGGTCTACAGGACAGGCAGGGCTGTTACAGTGAGACCCTGTCAAAACAAACAAGACCAGAAGCCTTTGAACACAGAGTCCTGCCACTACCTAGTTGCTAATTGTGTAGTTTTTAATAAATTATGTGAGCCTTAAGTCTTATTTGTAAAATGTGAGTTGAATTCTAGTAATGACTAGTAGTAACAGTATGGATTTGGGTATTCCTTAACTGAGGTACCTAGGAACATAAGTGTTTCGTCCATCTGTCTTTCTTTCAAATAAGAGAATATTTGCATACATGTAGTGAGCTATCTTAGGGATGACACCCACAGCTAAACATAAAATTCATTTTTCATGTACACTTAATGTACATAAACTGACAATTCTGTATAGTACTTAAAAATAATTTTGTGCATGTAATGAAGTTTTATGGTGTGGAGTTTTTTGTTTGCATCAAATTGCCACTCAGAAAGTTCTGAATTTTAGAGCATTTTGAATTTCACATCAGAGATACTCAACTTTTGTGTCAGTTACAGGTTTTTTTGGATACCTGTAAATTTCTGGAAATGTTGCTCAGCAGACTCTAAATAATGTTCTCTTCATTCTTTTTTTTAACCCCCCTTCCTTAGACAGGGTTTCTCTGTGGCTTTGGAGGCTGTCCTGGAACTTGCTCTGTAGACCAGGCTGGCCTCACACTCACAGAGATCCACCTGCCTCCCGAGTGCTGGGATTAAAGGCGTGTTATCACCAACGCCTAACTATTCTCTTCATTCTTGTATGCGAGATCATCATTTAAAAGGTCACCCCTTTTTTTCTTTTTGGTTTTGAAAAGTTAGCAAAGGTAGATTAATCACTCTCAATTTGAATTTCCTGTGATAAATTGCTTAAACTTCTCTATAAATAGGACTTAGTATTATATTACCCCAAACATCTCCTCTGTGTACTCACCACTGCAAGATCATAAACACCCCTGGACACAGTGTCTAGTCTCTTTTCTGTTATTACAACAAGGTACCAGGACAAGAGCAACTTAGGAGAGAAAGGGTTGCTTTCTGGGTCACAGTTCAAGGTGTAATCTAACAGGATAGAATAAAATAGAATAGTGAATGGCAGTATAGTATAGTGCAGATACTCTTCGTGTAGTGTTTTGAGTTTCATGCCTTCTATTTTTCTTTTCTATTACTGTAGAAATATTTAAAATAATGTTGTGTGTGACACAGTAACATGTTTCTGTAGTTTTGAATGTTTGGAGGCAGAAGTGGGAGGATTGCTTAAGGTTAGGTGTTTGGGATCAGCCTAGGTAACGTAGTAGAACTCTGTTCCAACAGTAGTAAGAAGCACAGTTGGTAGGACTGGCATACAGGCTCTTGAATGCTTGACTTTGAGGCAGGCAATGAAGAACTTACTAGAAACTTTTGTTTTGCTGGCGACAGATCTGTTGTGTGACAAAACTTGTCCTGGGGAGACACCACACACATATCTACTTACCCCAGACAGGGATCCCATGATAGACCAAAGTACACCACCAAAGCTTGATGAACCAATGAGTTTATTGGAGTTACTTATGAAGATGGGTGAGGGCTTACTTGGAGGAGCAGCAATGACTCAAAGACAGCTGCATCACTAAAGCCCGCCCCAAGCATTGGTGGCAGCTCACAAATCTGGAAACATGGAGCACACACTGCACAGCCTGCAGGCAGTTCAACAGGTGGGAGAGTGTCCTTTCCACATGCCTCAGTTGGTCTACACCTCCTCCAGGTAGCCCCACTTGTTTCTGCTTCTTACAGGCAGGTGGTCTGGTCTCAGTTTTCTCTGCAGCTTGGCTGGTCTGAGAGTCTTCTTTGCAGAGGGGCCTAGTTAATCTTGTCAGTTTCAGGGACTCCTGGAAAGTCACCCATGCTGGGGTGGGTTTTGATACGTCATAGGATCATTATCTGAGGCAGGTAGATGTGTGCATGCTATGTCTCCTAAGGAAAAGTCTTGTCACACAAGTGCTGTATTGCTCAACGTTACTGTCCCATGAAATGAATTACTTGAAAATAAATTAGGAAATACTTATAGGTAGGTAGGCAGCTGAGCTACTCACTGGGTATAGAATGATAAATTATCAGAAAAGTTATTCTTTGGAACCCTTGATAAAACTAAATTAACATAACTTTTAATTACTTGCTCATTTCCTGGATATTGTATTGGTGGCTTTTACTTATTTACAAGATACCTAGGCTTAAAAATGCCTTAGGGGAGTGGTGATATGGCTCAGTAGGTGAAATGCTTGAGGACCAAGACTTGGGGGGCAGAGACAAGAAATCCCTGGGGCAAGCTGGCTGGCTAGACTGTTCAAATTATCTGGCTCCATACATAAAGTGGAGATGAGTGAGAAAGGCACTAACATCAACTTTGACCTTTCGTTTGCACATGTACGAACAACACATGCACTGGTGGCACCCTAGCTTGAGCCGTGCGTGCATGCGAGCGAGTGATGAGTTCAGGTGCCTGTGGAGTCCAGAATAGGTTATTGGATCCCTTGGAGCTAGAGTTGCAGGCTTTCTGGTATGAATGCTGAGAATTGAACTTGGGCCCTCTTCAAGAACAACAGTTGTTCTTTTTTACCACTGAGCCATCTTTCCAGCCCCAAACTACGTTGTTAACACATTTAGCCTTTTCAACAAGAGGCAGTGTTGCTGTGGGTTTTATCAAGAAATAGCACCTTGTGAATAATCAACACATGGAGAGACAGCTTCAGGGCATATATATATTTTTTAACTTTTATTTCTTCTTGATAATTTTTCCTAAGTTTTTCCAACTTGTTTGTGATCTTCCTGTGGCAGTCTCTTTGTATCAGCACCATATCTGTTTGTTTCTTTCTCTAGTTTAAGATGATTAAAAATTATGGTCCTAACTTTCAAGATATCTTAATTCTTAACTAGAAGTTTGAAAAAGTGCAACTTATCATCTTTGACAATCAGTATTGATGGGCCATTGTAGTTGAAGCACTAGTTGTGAATTGTGTTTAGAATTTTGCTAGATTTGTTCACATTTAATTAGACCTGTTTTTATAGCTGTAAGAATATGGTTAATTCAGTTTTTTTTGGGTGACTAATTTGTATTTTCATACTTTACAGAACAGAACAGAAGACTCAGTGGCTTGAAAATTTGGCCAAGTGACCTGGCGGGATGGGCATTTGCCTGACACATTTTATAGAGGTAATCCAACATTGTTTTGTCCAGTCTGTAGTTTTGACATGAGAAGTTGTCATCATACTTGCACAGATACTCTTTATTTCCTGGGTAGTCCTGTTCTACTACTTATGCAGAGCCTAAGCTCCAGAAACTGGCATGATATTACTGTATGTCCTGCTCAGATACACACTGAAGAGAATCAGTGTACTCAGTTGACAGGTGAAACCATCGTTTTTTTTTTTTTTTTAATTTAACCAGATCTCTTTTTTACCCCCAAATTCTTTTATGTAAGAGAACAGTTGATCCTTTTCTTTCTTTGCAGCCTGTTTTGGTGCTTGTATTAAACCTGTGCCTTTCTTTATGAAAGAAAATGAAATACTTGCTGTAAAGATATTTATATATCTGCTAATAACACTTTTTTTTTGTTTTTGTTTTTTGTTTTTTTTTTGTTTTTTGAGGCAGGGTTTCTCTGTATTGTTTTGGAGCTTGTTCTGGAACTCGCTCAGTAGACCAGGCTGGTCTCGAACTCACAGAGATCCACCTGCTTCTGCCTCCCGAGTGCTGAACACTTATTTTTTAAGACAAGGTTTCACTGTGTATCCCTGGCTGTCCTGGAACTTGCTCTGTCGACCAGGCTGGCTTTCAACTCAGGTCCACTTGCCTCTGCTGGGATTAAAGGTGTGAGCCACATCTGGCTTGTAACTTGTATTCTTATGTCAGTTATTAATGGTAATAAAAATTGTAAAGTTGTATTATGAATTTTTAAATTTGTTTTGAGAATTCTTTTAGAACTTGAGGATTGAAAATAATACCTGTTTGGATGACCATATTTTAGGGTTTTCTTCTTTGTCCATGTCTTCTGGCAACTTCCTTTTGCCTAGGTTTCATTGTAAGCAGTAGAGAATGTCACAGTGTTAAAAACAAACAGAAAAATGGTCTCCTCTCCCATTCTTTGTTAATATTGTATATTCTCTCAGACATCTCTCTGGATACACAATCACCTATTTACTTAAAAATTTTTTTAATTTATTTTTTTTCCCCATGACAAAGTCTTTGCATATCCCTTGCTAGCTTCAGACTCATTTTTAGCCTGCGGTGGCCTTGATACTCCTCTCCATGTTCTACCAACCAGGCCATATTTACATTTATTTAGACAGATTTCATGTATATTGTATTTTAAATAAGCCCCCATATTTTGACATTATTCCTTCTCTTATTTCTTAATATCTTAATGTACTGTTTTGTTTTAATAAGCCACCTATTTATAGCTATTTAGGCTTTTAGAGTTTTTCATATAGTGTAAATTCTTGGACAGATCTGTACATATTTTGACTGTACCTACAGTTTAAATTCCTTTTATATGCATTTTTTTTCCATTTGGGTGTCTGTCTATGTGAGCACACTAGCCCATAGGTGCTTAAACTTCTCCTGTACACAAGCTCAGAGGCTGGAAGAGGACAATCAGTATTCCTCTTTATCACCTCCACCCTTTTCCTTTGACGTAGGGTCTCTCCTTGAACCTAGGCTTTGTTTTCTTGAGTAAGTTGCTGTCTCTGAGATCCTTGGAGCTGGAGTTGCAGGTATTTGTAGGGATGCCTGGCGTGTGTGGGCGCTAAACTCTGGCCCTCATGGTTTTGGAATAAGCACTTTTAACTGCCCAGTTATCTCTCCATCCTTGGCTGCTTAAATTTCTAAGGAAAAGAGTGTTGGGCCAAAGCATGGTGAATGATTGACAGCTTGGATGGTATGTACCTCTATAATGTGTGCCCAACACCAGTGGTTATCAGTGTGAGCATTGGTTATCTCTTTGACAATGTTAGCAAAAGATTTATTTGTGAGGATTTTTTTTTGGGGGGGGGGGAGGTCCTCTTTTTGTTTTTTTGTATATTTGTATGTTAGGGAAGAATCCTTGTCATTCTGTTAGGAAATTTATTTTTACTTAGTATTTGCTTTTTTTGTGATTTTGGTTTTGCTGCAGTTCTATAGAAGCTTATTTTGTTTTCAGATTGTTAGATATGTCTTATCCTTGGTTCTGGTAGACATGGAGTGGGGAATTCTGCATAAACTTGAAGAGCTTGTCCTCCTTGAGTATATGACTGTACTTTCCCCTCTACATTATAATTTCTGTGAGTGACTCAAATTCTGACTTATCCAAGTTTGACATACTTTTTCTCTCCTGGTGATCTAAAATTGTTGTGTATAATACTAGTAGTTTTAGATTTAGTAAACTGTGATAGTTAAAAAGTCACCAGTAGATCATAGGATCTGTGGTGAAAGGGCTACACATCATGGTGCATACCTGTGTCCCAGGACTTGTTTAAGGCTAGCTTTGGACACATGGTGAATTCCATGCCAGGCTCGCTACTTGAGACTGTGTCTGAGAAAAAGAAGAAAACTTAGTAAGTTTGATGTGTAAAACATCTAGAAAAGATATTAACAACCCACAAGGCCTCCTTGGCCGATTTATCTGTGTTTGTGGCTATGGCCATGTCTTCTCCTGATGCCTCAGCCAAGGCAAAGCTAAGGAGAAGTTGGAGGAATCAGGAGAGGAGATGGGATTTTGTCTCTTTGACTGATCCCTCTAAAGCACCCAACTCAGTCAGCTTTATTTGAGAAACATGGAAATACAGGCTCACTTCTTAAAAAACACACACACAAACAAAGAAAATGAGTAACCTGGCAAACAAGTCGGGACAGTTGGCTCATCATCTGTATTCATTGCTTATATAAAGATGTCAGTAAATTCCGATTTCATTTTTGTTTGTTTGTTTTTTCGAGACAGGTTTTCTCTGTATTGCTTTGGAACCTGTCCTGGAACTCGCTCAGTAGACCAGAGATCTGCCTGCCTCTGCCTGCCGAGTGCTGGGATTAATGTGCTACCATGGCTACCTTATAAATTCAAGTTATAAAATGTAGTAGACCGTTATTTATCTAATTAAAATTCATTATAGTTGGAGAACATTTTGTAGGAGTTGAGTCCTTTTAATTTTGCTGAGGTTGTCTTGCTGCTTAGTATAGTGTCTCTGCTGGAGAATGTCTTGTACATTAGTGGGATGGTCTGCTGCAGGTGAACAGTGTGGTGATGCTGGAGAATGTGTGTTTAGAATCGATATTTTTCTTTTACTAGCCTTTCTTTCTCTCCAGCCCCGCCTCCCCTCCAGTCTGTGATCCACCATCTTCTCTCCTCTGTTGTTATGCTTGGAAGCTAGTCACTGATCTTCTTGGTGGTGGTTGTTAGTTACTGTTCTGTTGCTGTGATAAAACAACCATGGCTAAAGCAATTTGTAAAAAAAAAAAAATTGCCGGGCGGTGGTGGCGCACGCCTTTAATCCCAGCACTCGGGAGGCAGAGACAGGCAGATCTCTGTGAGTTCGAGGCTGGGCTGGACTGACAGCCTCCAAAACAATACAGAGAAACCCTGTCTCGTTAAAAAAAAAAACAACAACAACAAAAAAACATTTAATTGGGCTTACAGTTTTATTTGTTTGTTTGTTTCTTAGTTATTTGAGACAGGGTTGCTCTGTGTAGCACTGTCACTTTGTAGACCAGGCTGACCTCAACTCACAAAGATTTGCCTGACTCTGCCCCCTGAGTGCTGGGACTAAGGGCATTTGTTGCCACCACCGCGATTACCACCACCACCCACCTGGCTTATGGTTTTAGAGGGTTAGAATACATGATGGTGGAACAAACACATGGAGCAGGAACAGCTGACATTCTCATCTCCAACAGCAAGCAGGAGGCAGAGAGTATACTGGGAAAGGCTTACTCTGAAACCTTACAGCATGCTCCTAGTGGTCATTTGTTCCAACAAGGGCCCACCTCCTAATTCTTCCCAAACAGTTCTGCCAACTGTGGCCCACGTATTCAAAACATGAGCTTTGGGCCGCCGTTGTTCTTGAGACTGCCACAGTGCTTTCCTGCTCATGTGCCTTTCCTCATGCTTCCTTTCAACGGCTCTATTTTGATGGACCCAGGAATAGGCCTTTTTGTATCTATTGCAATGGAAGTTCTTTGAGCTTGGATTTGTAAGCTTATTTTTTAAAATTAGTCAAATTTGGGGACTATTTGGCTTCTGTTTAAATTTTACTTTTTCTCTGTCATCATTATATTAAGAAATATTGGTAAACAGGGCATTGGTTCACTTATTACTAGTCTCTTTTTTCTTAATTCTTTTTCTGTATTGAGTAATTTTCTTTTCATAAGGATTAACTTACTATGTCTGTTTATTCTTGTTTGTGCAAGGGGTTGCATGTATGGAAGGCAGATGACAATGTGTAGGAGTTGGCTCTCCTTCCACTCAGCTCTCAGGCTTGGCAGCAAGCACCCTTACCTACTGAGAGATCTGGTCAACCCTAACTGGGAATTTCTATGGATGTACATTTAAGGTCACTGGTTTTTTTATTTTTATTTTTTTTGCAATTGTGAATTTGTTTTTGAATGCTTGGCATACATTTTGTATTTCAATAGCCCTATTCTTCAATCCCCAAATTTCCATTAGGGTATTTAAAATAATTTCCTTTATTGAGAATTTTATTTGTTAGCTGATTATTTTCATAGTTAAAGTTAAAACATGAGTTGAGTTTATTTAACTTAATGTTTTGTAATCTTTTTGTAAACCAACCCATGAGGGCACTTAGAAACACATTCTGTTGCCTGTTGCTTTTGATGAAAATCTGCCTGCCTGCCTTACTGCTTTTTTGAGACAGTCTTTCTATGTAGCCCTGACACTGGATATATAGACCATGCTGGCCTTGAACTCACAGAGATTTGCCTGACTCTGCCTTCCAAGTGCTGGGGTAAAGGATGTGAGCCACCACACCTGGCTCATGTTGCTACCTTTTCTGGTTCATACTAGGGACTGAATCTAGGCTTCATGCATACTTCTTGCATACTGACATAGTGGTATGAGTTATATTTTCTGGTATTTTTAAGTATCTTATGATTGTTGAAAATGGGTATTTTGCATGATGCACGTTATAAATTTGTAATATTGCAAGTTTAAATTGTTGTTGCTCCCCCCTTCTCATGTAGTTGTTATTTTTAGTATTGTTTATGTGTGGTAACAGTTCTGTTGAAAAAGAGAGCATATTTTACTTTACATGTTTTTTTAGGAAAAATAAATATCTAGGAAAATTCAGGAATGGAATCCTAAGCACGAATAGGTCTGTGTTTTAACTTTCAGATGTTTATTGAAGTTTATCTTTTTGTAACAAGCTTCACCGTAGTCCTGGCTGGGCTGGAACTCATATATATAGCCTAGGCTGGACTCAAACTCACAGAGGTCACCTGCATGTGCTTCCTGAGTTCTGGGGTATTACTGTTCTTACTTTAAGTGGCCAAGACTATTGTTGTGTTGTGCCATGGTAAACATGTACAATCATAGGTCCATGGACCCTCTAAGTTAGGAAATTTCATAGTCATTGGTTTGATACTTTGATCAGAAGTGCTTGCTGTCAGAAAGTTTTCTTGTGGATAGCTTGTACTCTCTGGTGTTAGTTACACCGCACATTTTCTGAATGATTATTTCCATATTTTTGTCAGTTTTTTTCATCTAAGGTAACCCTGATAATCAAATTTGTGTATCTAGATGCCTATGTGATTTTAAGATGGTACTCTGTCTCTTGTGAATACACATACTACTTGCTTGTTATTTTTGAGATCTGCATTAGTTTGCTTTTCTTTCACTTCCAGAGGTTTTTTTTTTTTTAAACCATGCTGGTCTAGAAATAAAAAAGATCTACCTACCTCTGCCTTTCTAGTACTGTACTAAATGTGTCCACCACTGCACCAGTCTGCAGACCTAATAAAGCAGCTATGGCTAGTGTCTTTGTGTGTTGCTTAATCTTTGTTTTTCATTTTTTTATCTTTTAGTTCTGTAGCCCTCTGAATTTTGATGCAGTATTTCTTTCTCAGAGTTGTAGATTCTTGATCTAGGCAAATTATATCTGCCTAAATCTTACCCGTCCGTCCATCTGTCCCTCCGTCCATATGTCCCTCCCTCCCTCCCTTCCTCCCTCCCTTCCTCCCTCCCTCCCTCCCTCCCTCCCTCCCTCCCTCCCTCCCTCCCTCCCTCCCTCCCTCCCTCCCTCCCTCCCTCCCTCCCTCCCTCCCTCTTTCCTTCCTTCCATGCACATAACATGTAAGGGAGAGATAACTTGTAGAGGTCAGAGGGACAACTTGATGGAATCAGTTCCTTCCTTCTTCCATGTGGGTTTCCAGGAATGAAGATCAGGTCATCAGGCTTGGCATCATGCATCTTTACCTGCTGAGCCCTCTCTCTGGCCCTGAGGCAAATTATTTCTTAAAAAGTTGGGGTTGTTGCTCATTTCATACCTAACACTATTGTGTTTTCTCAGTTTCATACCTAAAAAACAAGCCAGTATGTTCTCCTTCAGACATACATGGCTCACTAGATTTCCAGACAATCACTTCATTGTTCATACAGTTTGCACTTACTGTGTCACAGCACTTTTTCTGAATGTAATATATTTTTCTTATTGAGTATGTATTTAATTTTAGGAATTGGATGGCACAAGTGACTGAGAGGATCTTGAGAGTTTCTGGAGCCTGTGAAAGGTAGAAACTCAACCATGATTTCTTTCTCTACTCAACAGCATTCCCTTCCTTGAAGTCTTCATTTTTACTTCAGTCTCAGGTAACTTATTTCTCATGATCTTGAAAAAGCACATTTCTGTCTGTGTGTCTGTGTGTCTGTCTGTCTGTCTGTCTATCTGTCTATAAAACTATTTTAATTAAGTCATGAATAAAAACAGCACACAGTCTAAGGTAGCCATTCTAGCTGTATAGTTCACTGATGTACAGAGTTTTGGACTGGTCAAGTGTTTGGAGTGGCTCCTTAAATCCACTGTGTTAAAGAAGTTAAGCTTTTCAAATATATTTAAATTTTTTTTGTTGGATGATAGATTTCACATTGGGTTTGTTTAATAGTTTCAGTTTGGATTTTTATATCTGGAGCAGACTTTTTTTTTTTTGACAGGGTCTCACTATGTAGCTTTGATTGTCCTGGTACTCACAGTGTAGACCAGGCTGGCCTCGAACTCACAGAGATCTGCCTGCCACTACCTCCTGAGTGCTGGGATTAAAGGTGTGCACCACACCGTCCAGCTAGATTCTATCTTATTGAGTATGGTTACTATAGTGGAGAGAAAAAAAACTGGAGAACACTTTGCAATTTATTGTTTTATGTTATGTGTATGCATGTTTTACTTCTGTATATATCTGTAATCCATGTGCTTGCCTGGTTCATGCATAGGCCATAAGAGGGTGTCAGATCTTGAACTGGAGTTACAGCCAGTTGTGAGCTGATGTGTGGGTGTTGGGAATTGAAACCAGGTTTTCTGAAAGATCAGTCAGTGATTTTAACTGCTGAGCTATTTCTCCAGCTCTATTATGCTTTTTTTAAAAAAAAATTTTGTATGTATATCTGTATCTTCCATTTATATCCCATTGGCCATAGCTTTGTTATTTGACTACCATCTGTAAGGGAGGCTTAGGTAATAGGTTTTACCTTGGCAGCTATATATGTCTCATAAAATTTAGAGCTTTCTTTTGTTATTTATCATTATGGATGTTTTTGCCTTTGTGAATATATGTGCACCATGTACATGCCTGCTGCGTATAGAATTCAGAAGATTGTGTTGGAGACCCTGGAACTAGATTTACAGATGATTGTGAGTCACTATGTGGGCGATGGGAATCAAACCCTAGTCCTCCATAAGAGGAGCATGTGGTCCTATCCCCAAACCCCCCTTAGAGTTTCTCTGTGTAACAGTGCTAGCTGCCCTAGAACTCACTCTGTAGACCAGGCTGGCCTTGAACTCACAGAGATCCACCTGTTTCTGCCGCCTGAGTACTGGAATTAAAGGCAAGGGCCACCACTGCCCATAGAATCATCTGTAGCCCCATCATATAACTTATTATTAGATAGAAGACAATAGGTTTTGGGTGTGGGTATTAGGAGTTTGTGTCAGATTTAATCCTTATTAAATCTGTTCTTAGACAAATCTTGGTCAGTAATGAAACACATTAAACAAATTAATACCTAACTAATATTAGGCATTAAGCATTTCTTCATTGTACCTAGAGAAATTAAGAAGTATTTCTCACATTTGTATTATATGAAATGATAGAATTCAGTTTTCTAATGGAATCAGTAGTTTGAGTTTGTGCTGGCACCCAATGTGTTGGATGCTGTATGTAACTAGGACTCAGGGTGCTCACTTGGTGTACACTCCCCCAAACGCCTTCTCGATACAGATAAATTATACCTGTTTCTTAAACAGTTTGAGATTGCAAAAATGTAACTATTTTCTGGTTGTGTTGTTTTAGGAGACATTTTGATAAATATTTGGAATATATTATGTGCTTAGATCCTAGGTTTTCAAATTATGTAGGAATGTCTACTAATTTTTCCTTAAACATTTGCAGATTATTTTCCTATGGTTAAAAACGGCCAGTTTTATCTAATTTGTTATTTACAAAATGGAGGCCCTTATCTTGAGAAATCTCTAATTATTAATTCTATTAATATCTGTTAAAATTGTGATTATTACTTTAATATATTCTGTTGCTGCTGGCACTGATCAGAAAGATCATTTTGTCTTATTGCCATTATGAACATGGGTCTTACTAGGCTGTTTTGAAATACTAGCACTTAAAATGTAGTTTTTAAGAAAGACTTTATAATATGCAAAATGGTATTTATGCATATGTGCATCTGAGAGCTGGGCATGGTGTTATGCTTGTGATTCTTTACTGGGAAAGGATGAGGCAGGAGGATCATTATGAATTCAGGGCCTAACAGGGTTGCAGAGGAAGAGTGTCTCAAAAAAAAAAAAAAAGTAAAAGAAAAACAAAGTATATCTGAGATGTATCTGGATATAGACTATGCCTAGACAGGAAATATTTTGTTTTCCAGTGAAAAATAAACAGTTTTGAGTAGATCAAAGCTGTAATTTGAAGGAATGAAATAGAAACTTGTCAAGGTTCATTCTGGTATTGATAAGGGTTTCTTCATTTCATCAAATGTGATATCACGAGTGTGTATGTTATGTACACACATCACCCTCCACCAAGCATATCCACATACGTTTTGTTTGTCTTGCGATATTGACCAGGCTGGCACTGAACTCGTGCATCCCCTTTCCTGGCCTGCAACCATGCAGCACCACAGCATGCTGGCTGGTTGATATTTGTACTTTCAAGTTATATGTTCACAATGGATTTCTCTCTGATTTGTAAATAGAGTAGACTATGAATATTCAGATTAATGTAACTGAAATCCTCCAAATAAACAGGGATTTGGTGAAAATGTTTTGGTTCAGGAGTCATTTGTGAGGTCTGGGGATATAGCTCAGCGGTGAATGCTTACCTAGCATGCCCACGTCTCTGGGTTCTATCCCAAGCTCCTTATTGATGGGCCAGAGAAATAATTGATTTTTAGAAAACGTACCTTTGAGTGTCTGCCTAAAAAGAAGTTTGTTTTTATTTGTTTGTTTGCTTGTTTGTTTCCTCCCCATGACAGTGTTTCTCTGTTCTCTGTAGCTTTGGAGAGTGTCCTGGAACTCACTCTGTAGACCAGGCTGACCTCGAGAAGTTTCTTTTTAGAACTCATGTGTAAGGGTGGCATATTGTTGACCCTTTCCTAAGTTGGACATTATTCTATTCATAGAAAATAAAATGATATTTAGGTGCCTAAGCTTGTCGGTCGTACTCTGCTTGACTCATAATGTACATTTGAAGTTCAGTGTTACTCAGTGACAAAGAATAGGAAATGCTGTAACTATGAGGCTAAACAAACAGACAGGCAGGATCTTGAAATGAAAAAAACTTTTTTTAAATGCTTGAATGCCGGTTCTTTAAAGGTAGTTTGTGACTGGTGGAGACAGGGATAATGTTTCTCAAAGACCCAGCCCTATGGCATGCTTTTTCTAGCTAGGTCCCACCCTTTAAATTTCTATAATCTCCCCAAACCACCCCCATTGAAGTGCCAACCTTTTTAATGAATTAGTCTCTTGGGGTAGGGGAGTAATTCATTGTCAAACCAAATGTTAGGTAAAGAGTATCTACCGTTTCCTGGGTAATGACTTTAATCCCAGCACTTGAGAGGCAGAGGCAGGTGATCTCTGTGAATCTGAGGCCAGCCTGGTCTACAGAATGAGTTCTAGGATGCCAGTTTTACACAGAGAAACCCTGTGTGGGTAGGATGGTGGTGGAGGGAGACTACACACAGTTTTTCTTTTGATAAATATTTCCAAGGCTTACTTTAAAGTCTGAGCAGTGATCATTGATACCAAAGTATTTTCTGATATTGCAGGAAAACTGTGTCCAATACATTTGTAGGTATCCAGTTTAAGACTAAATACTTAATTTAATTTAGGATTGTAGGAGTAAGTAACCATGGGTGAGAAGGAAGAGTCTTGTCATCTTGGCATATAATTGTTTTCAGGAAGATATTTGAAGAGGCCAGGTCTGTTTTCTCCTTGGATTATTTCTCCTTAGTTTTACTTTACCTGCTGTATTTGAAGCATGCTATTTTCCTGTTCTAAGATCCTTACTGAAGGAAGGACTTGATGCTTCCTCCACCCCAAATATCCTTTGTCTCTAAAGTACTTCCTTAGTTCTTGTTTCAGCTTGATGCCATATTTTATTTGTTTGTTTGTCTGTCCCCCTCCCAAACTGATACAAGTACAGGAATGTAACTTTTAGTTGTTGATCCAATCTGTGGTGGTAAAGATTTTCTACTATAGGGACACTTTGGGCAGGAGTAGCATTGTCAACTGAATGCTTTTCTCTTGATGAAACACAAAAACAAAAACTGAGTTTCCCCCCAACCACTTACTTTTAGTTGATCTCCTTAAATTTCTTTTTACATCTTCCATACTGACAGCAATAGATGCAATAAAGACCTCTTGTTTATATGTAAGTTCCTGTAAGTTGGGGGCTTTCCGTCTTCTCTTTTTTGATTTTAATCATTTTATCTCAAGTATATTTTTTTGTTGTTGTTGTTGTTGTTTTTGGTTTTTTCAAGACAGGGTTGCTCTGTATTGTTTTGGAGGCTGTCAGGGAACTCACTCTGTAGACCAGGCTGGCCTAGAACTCACATAGATCCACCTGCCTCTGCCTCCCAAGTGCTGGGATTAAAGGTGTGTGCCACCAACGCCCGGCTTCAAGTATATTTTAAAAATCATCAATGGGGTTTGCAACCCAAAGCTGAAACACATATTCTCCAGAGTCTGATAGGCAGTTCCAGACCATACTTTCCAAACCCATTTTCTTGGTCATTTTTCAGATTTCTGAGGCCTAGTATTTAATCCACTCTATTCTAAATGTGCTTGACTCTGGTGCAGCTTCCCACATTCTTTAAGATAGTTTAGAAATAAATCATAGTTTGCAAGGATTTCCAAAGAATTGGCCAGAATAATCAACTTTTAGCCCTTTACAGAACATTTACTTAGTTGTAGAATAGCTTATCCTCTAAGAAAACAGAATGTAAAGATAGGAGCTGTAAACAATTGACCTTTAAGAGTTTGTTTGTTGTGTGAAGATTTTGAGAGGTAATATCAAATGCTGCTCTCTGGTCATCATGTCTTCTAGCCTGGTAATGTCTGGTACCCGGGAAGGTAAGACAAGCAAGTCTGAATTAGACTTCTGTTTGCTCTGCTGTTTATAAAGGTCTATGAACTGTTCACTTAAGAAAAGGCCATCCCTTGATGATATCCTCAGTAAATAAAAGGGCATTTTGATTTTAGTCATGATTGGATTTTAACTTAATTTTGGTGATAAACCAAAGGTGATCTTCAGCACTGTCTGTAGAGAAGAGGTCGGTAAACCAAAGCACAGGGCTTACTCCCTGTGCTCCTTCACATGGAGAGTGAGGGTTCCATTCATCCTGTGCTCTCACGTACAGCATGCAGCAGTGTGTCTGCTTCCCCTGCTGGCCTTGCAGGTGTAGGCCCTGCCCTTTTGATGTGGCACTGGGGTTTACTGAGCATGTCAGCCAAGCGCTACACTAACTGAAGCTGCAAAGCTGCAGCTCTGCCCGCTCTTTCTTTCTTTCTTTCCTTCTTTCTTTCTTTCTTCCTTCCTTCCTTCCTTCCTTCCTTCCTTCCTTCCTTCCTTCCTTCCTTCCTTCCTTCCTTCCTTCCTTCCTTCCTTCCTTCCTTCCTTCCTTCCTTCCTTCCTTCCTTCCTTCTTTCTTTGTTTGTTTTTACGAGACAGGGTTTCTCTGTATTGTTTTGGAGGCTGTTGGTCCAGCCCAGCCTCGAACTCACAGAGATCCACCTGCCTCTGCCTCCCGAGTGCTGGGATTAAAGGCGTGCGCCACCAACACCCGGCAACACTGCCCTTTCTTAGGATTTATGAGGGCTTTTGTTTGCATTAGTGGTTTGCCTGAGAGTATTTTCTGTCAGGTTAGATTTTACTGAGTTTATCCTTTTAAATTTTATTTTATGACACTATAATATGTTAAAATCTGAAGGGTTTTTTAATTGAAGCTACAAATACTTCCTTTAATCTATTTTGTGTAAAATTCATTTTCAGTAATGAAGTAGATTAGGATTAGGATTATGCCTTAATTTCAAAGTGAAAACTTGTTTTACTTTTCTAGCCTCTGGAAGTCAATCTTGATAATTATATGAATTAGATGAATAAAAAAAACTTTCTGTTTGAGTGTATACTTTTTATAATTTGAATTAAAAAACTACCAACTTAGACATATAAACTAATTTCTTATGCTTTGTTGCCAAATTTGGTCTTTCTAGGCAGTTATACTTAAGCATGAACATTGACGACAAACTGGAAGGATTGTTTCTTAAATGTGGCGGCATAGACGAAATGCAGTCTTCCAGGGCAATGGTTGTAATGGGTGGAGTGTCTGGCCAGTCTGCTGTGTCTGGAGAACTACAAGAGTCAGTACTTCAAGATCGAAGTTTGCCTCACCAGGAGATCCTTGCTGCAGATGAAGTGTTACAAGAGAGTGAAATGAGACAACAGGATATGATACCGCATGATGAACTCATGGTTCATGAGGAGACGGTGAAAAATGATGAAGAACAGATGGAGACACACGAGCGCCTCCCTCAAGGACTTCAGTATGCACTTAATGTCCCCGTAAGTACTCTCTCTAAGACACTGAGCTAAACTAGAAATGCTAATTGTGGAAGTCACAAGAAATCACAAAGTTTAAAGGCCAATCATTCTTTTAGTAAACAGACTAAGCTGTGGACAGCTATCAGATTTGAAAGACAGAATTTTGTGTCATTATTTTAGAAATCTATTCTTTCCAACATTTTTTTTTTGATCAAATTATGTGTATACTGGTTTTAAGTGCTTGCTTTTGAAAGACACTGCATTTATTAGCATTTGGGTGTTTGTTTTGATTTTTCAAGACAGGTTTCTCTGTGTAGCCCTGGCTGTCCTGGAACTGTGTAGACCAGGCTGGCTTTGAACTCACAGTGGAATTGAAGACATGTGTCACCACCACCTGGCCTAGCATCTGTGTCCATAAAGAGCGTGGAGCTCAGACGTTAAACATGTTTAGAGAAAGATCACACTCTGGGGTGTTTGTGTGTCTTATTCCTGCCTTTTCTTGTGGGCTGTTGAGACTGACCTCAGGGCTTCATGTACACTAAGAACTCACTGCTGCTTATCCTGAGCCTGCTGCTTTTTTCCATTTTCTGGATGCCCCATTGTGGTTTTGTACACACTTGGTTGAATTCTGTCTTTGGAAACAGTATCAGCCTTTTACTCTTCCCTGTCCTAGACATTAGGGTTCAGCACTGAAGATGTTCTTTTTGTTTGTTTTTGGTTGATACTTGTTTGTTTGCTTGTTTATGGCAGTCTAGTCTGGAATTTGCTGTGTGGACCAGACCTTTTTTGTTGTTGTTGTTGTTTGTTTGTTTGTTTTCCGAGACACGGTTTCTCTGTGGCTTTGGAGGCTGTCCTGGAACTCGCTCTTGTAGACCAGGTTGGCCTGCCTCTGCCTCCCAAGTGCTGGGACTAAAGGCATGTGCCACCAACACCCGGCCTGGACCAGACCATTTTTAAAGTTTGTTACAACTTCCTGCCTCTGCTTCCTTGGTGGTGGAATTTCACCCAGCCCCAAGATAATCATTTTTAGGCACCTGCGTCTTTCTTGACTTTCTTCCGCCTTTGTATTTATTTGTGTTTTGTTTGTTTTTATGAAGAGTCTTGCTGTATAGGCCAGGTTAGCTTCAAGCTCATTGACAATCCTCTTACTTTAGCTTTCCTGGTACCACCCCCTAGTACTGGCATTTATTGGCACGCCGACACCACGCCCAGTTGTCCACTTTATTTTTACTCAGTGATGAGTAAAACTAGAACCATATTCTAAGTCTTACTTCTTCCAGCGCTGGTGCTAGGTCCTGAGGATCTTACTCCCCGTTATTATGAATGCTGCACCTTTTCTTTGCTTGAAAACCCTGTCTTGAAAAACAAAATAAAGCAATATTCCTGTCTGCCAGAAAAGAAGACAGAGTTGATTCATATCCCCTTACATGTTTGCTAAAATTCATCAGGATCTGGTGCTTTCTGTTTTAGAAGATTTAGAAAAATCTTTGGCAAATTCTCTTTTATAGATTCGGGCCTATTTAGGTAATCTCTTCTGTGAATCTTGGCAATTTTTTTCAAGAAACTAGTCAGTTCTGTCAATGTTTTCCAGTTTTCAGACACAAAGCTGTTCCCAGCTGTATTATCCTTTTAATGCACACGCAGTTGCTTCTTTTCTGTTTGATATCAATAGTGCCTTTTCTTTTCTTAGCGTGGCTATAGGCACATGTTTTATTGTTTAGTGCCACCTTTACCATTCTTTACAGCTGAGTAGTGCTAAACTGTATTTGCAGAGTTGTAGAGCAGTGTCTAGAGCTTCCTTATCTTGTAAAACTGACTCTGTATCTGTTGAGTACTGTTCTGTGTGTGTCAACTCCCTCCAGAAGTGACTTAGGGATTTTATTGCTTTTTGGGGGGGAGGGTTGTTACGAGACAGGGTTTCTCTGTGGCTTTGGAGGCTTTCCTGGAACTTGCTCTGTGGACCAGGCTGGTTTTATTGCTTTTAAGAAACATTTTTATTTCATTTATTTCTGTTGATTTCTTCTTTTTTTAAAAATTCATTTTATTTTTGATTATTTGTACATCTGTGTGTGTGTGTGTGTTTGTGTTTGTGTGTGTGTGTGTGTCTGTCTGTCTGTCTGTCTGTCTGTCTTCGGTGCCCTGGAACTGGAGTTACAGGTGATGGCAAGTTGGTTGTATCCAGTAGTCTATAGACTGCAGTAACTTTGAGTGGAGAGGCTGTAGCCTGAACCTCCTTTTCTTTTAGTTTCTGCAGAGATCTTTCCAAATGAGAGAAAACTTGTTACTCCCTTAGTCAAATGTTTCATTGGCTCCTCATTGCCGAGAGCAAAAGGCTTATTTCTTTCACAGGAGGTTACCACACTCTCCCCATATTTCTTTTCTAGGAAATCAGACTATATTAGTTCACCAGGTTCACTGTGACAGTTGTTTCTTTTATATATGGTATATTTATGCCTGCAATATTCTTGTTGACTCTTAGCTTTTGAAAGCTTCCACTTTGTTATGATCTTTATTGTGGTCAGCTTGCTTTTGCATTTCTTTGCTTGTAAGATTATTGTTATTCTTTAAGACTTATTTTCTAGGTCTTGCCTTTAAATTTTCTCAATTTTGGTTATGTGTTATGTGTCTTTTTGAAACAGGGTCTCTCTCTGTTTTGTAACTCTGACTCTCCTGGAACTCACTATGTATGCCAGGCAGGCCTCAACTCACAGAAATCCACCTGCCTCTGTCTCCTGAATGCTGGGATTAAAAGTGTGTCCCACGACAGGCTGGGCGGTGGTGGTGCACGCCTTTAATCCCAGCACTCGGGAGGCAGAGACAGGCGGATCTCTGTGAGGTCGAGGCCGGGCTGGACCGATAGCCTCCAAAACAATACAGAGAACCACTGTCTCATAAAAACCAAAAAAAAAAAAAAAAAATGTGTCCCACTATCTAAGGGTGCATGTATGTTTCTGTGTGTGTATGGGGAGGCTGGAGGTGTCTTCCCTGGTTGTAAGTAGGGTGTTGGGAACTTAGTTCTGCTTCTCTGTAAGGTCACTATGAATTCTTAACCCCTGAGCCGTCTTTCCACTCTCAAATTTTGTATTCTAAATACCTGGGCTATAGGAGGTAACCCAGGCTTTTGAGTGAAGATGTGTTTTGTTTTTAATTGAGGAGAGATTTAAATTGGAAAGCTTCTATTTTCAGTTCAGAGTTCAGACAGCTGCACATATGTAATCCACAACCCATCAAGATATAGAACATTTTCATTATTCTTGAAGGTTGTTTTGTAATTATCTCCACAATTGTTAGACTTTTTTCCCTTCATAGTTTATTGTTGTCTCTCTTGGAAATTTCATGTAGTGGAATTATGTGTCTCTCTCATGTCTGGCTGCTTTGGTGAAGCATATTACTAGTTTGCCCATGTTGACTGAGTATTAATACTTTATTCTTTTTCCTTGCTGATTTATGTTATATTGCTTAAGTGTCACGTCTGCTGCGCGGCCTGTGTCCGAGAACGTGCGGAGGGTGTCGGGTATTGAAAACACAGAGACTCGTTCAATGATATAAAGAAAACTTTAAACAGGCTCCAAAAAGGTTCAAGAAAAACTTCCTAAGAAAAGTTCCCACCAGAGAAGCTTCTGCTCCCTCCTCTACCCTGGCTGGTTCTGCTCTGACACCAGAGGTGGATGTGTGTGGGTTTCTGAAGGTGCGGTTAGTCTTTGGACAAGGTCGAGGTCAGGGCGGTTTCTGTGGGAAGGCCTTTCCCAGGAACTTATTGTATCATTTTTAGTAAACATGTTTTTACTAAACATTGTCTTACAGCTGCCTACTCCCAGGCAGAAGGGGAAGTGGCCAGGAACTTATTGTATCGTTTTTAGTAAACATGTTTTTACTAAACATTGTCTTACAGCTGCCTACTCCCAGGCAGAAGGGGAAGTGGGTCTCTGCTCAAGGTCTGGTGTTCCCACAATTCACCCCTTTTTATTTTTAAATGAGGCACTCCTGGCTTAGGTCAAGTAGGTCACCCTCCCTTTCCCGTCTTTGGGGGACCTTGAACCCCTGTTTTAGGTGGGAGGGGTCTTCCCCACAGGTTGCCCGTCATCGGAGATACCCCAACCTTAAATCATCTGTAACCAACCTTCATGGCTATCGGGATTGCCATGGGCTAAGCTAAGCAATACTTGGTTACGGATCTCTTGTCTCTGGAACAAGGCACGTTTGAGCTTGGCATAAAGCCAGAATGCCTACCGCCACTGCCACCATTTCCAGGACCCCCATTGACATAGCGCCTCTCCATCACCATACCCATCACCAGATCTGGGCCATAACATTCTACCAGCCTTCATCTGTTACAAGGGTAACCCGCATGTGATTTACATTTACAATTTGATAAAGTTTCCAATCGTTTCAAGATCTGCTCAGGAAAGCATTTAGAAAGTGCACTTGCACAGATACATTAGGTATAATCATTGATGTTACACATGTAGCATTACGAAAAATATGAACAATAGTTGTCGCATTAGGACAAGTTGCATTTCTCCAGAAAAATACACTGGCCTAGTCGTGATTCCAGAAACAGGAACCATCAAGTGACCATGTCCTGTTCAAATACTGAAAAGAGGCTTTTGCCACTCATCATAGTCCATACCAATGTCCAAATGCTTTAAATGGGTCCTTTTTTCTCTGTTAGCTTCATGATGAAAACTCATGGGTCCGGAAGGTTGATGCAGCAGGTCTGTTGAGAAACTGGAAATCTCGAACCGACTGTTTTCTTTCTTTTTTTGGGCTGTAGATTCGATGACATCAAGGGTCAGGAACACTGATTTAGGAGATCTCACTCAAACTGGCTTAGGTAGGCTCCCATGGTCTCAGGTCCAGTTTTTCTCTGCTCCATGCCGAAGCTTTTATTCTTTTCCTACAAGAAAACACAAACATGCCCTCGACCCCAAATTAGGGTCTTCTCCACTGTCTAGTGTATGGATGTCTCCATTTGACCTGAGCAATGATAGCTCAGGTTCCGTCATGCCAGAATCTGTCTG